CATCAATGAACTTAATATTAATTATTAAAAGTTCAGTTCAATTAAAAATTTAAGGAATATAAAAATATTGGCTTTGTATATGTAACAGATACAGATTTGATATTTGCAACAAACTTATCAATAAAAGTTCACTTCACTATGTACAAGATCCCCTACTGTCACATTTCCCTCTGTTTTATCCAGCAGGCCCAGACAGGTCATTTGGGGTATAGAACCTAGGTGTGTACCTGGCTTTTGAAAAAGGATTGTCAGCATAAAGAGTATTACTATATAAAACAACAGAATAAATTTGTTCAAATTTCCTTAATTTTTATCAAATTTTTTTTCTTTTTTTTTTTTCACTAATAATGTAATTAAACTTTTATTTCACATTTCCCCCATGAAATGCCAGATTAAGATTCTATATTTACCTGTATATATATATACACATAAGTAAGCCACCGACCTATATAACCACCGTACCTAAACAGAACCACATACCTCAGCACATTGAACAAATATTGGTACACTATTGTTCAAAATGAAAGATTAATGACTACATTTAACAACAGGCAAATATAGGTACCACCTTAATTCTGTTTAGGGTTGGACAGGCAAAACCACCACTGCTGACAAATTGTGGTAATACTGTAGCTACAGAATGGCTGTTTTAGCCACACAGCTTGGTGGAATTGATTACATTTTCAATTCTGCAGATATCAACCAACATACAAAAGCACACATGAATAAAACACAAATATCAAAACAGGTTCCAAGGGCCTGCTCACTTGGGTATTTAAACAAACCTGTGAATATCTCCTGGTCGGTGCTATCACCTGTTATTTAAATATTTTTTTTGAGAACTGGCAGTGTTTATTTTCTTCACCAGATGAAAACTTTATTACCTGCTAAATCTTGTATCATTGCCTCTCTTAAAGATACACAAGAAACATTGGAATATTAATCATTGATTCAGATAAATGTCCTTGCCTTCTTCATAGCATATTTACTATTTCTGAAGACTTTTTCTGAGCATATTTTTAACCAAATATTTCATAGCCTAATTACTTGAGTATATTAATGACAAAATATTTTATTACGAAGTGTAAAGTTTAAATTCATCGTACACCTGTGACCTTGATAAAAAGGTCAAGGTTACCATACCCAAAGGCCCAAAAGGGCTACTGGCCAAATAAGGTTACATTAGATATGTATCAAATGTTATCGTCAGATTTCCCACATGTATTTACTCTGTGATCTTTATTGGCTCTACGCCTGGCCCTCTTTCTCTTCTCTCTCTTGCATGTGTTTTTGCATTGATAGGTTGATTATGTTGTAACAATGATCAGAAAAGAGCAGCTTGGTAAAGATGCTATTGGAGCATGAGCTGTTGGGTGATTTCTCACCTATAATGATCTTCTAATGTCATGTGTTTGTTACATTTATTTCTACAGTCTACAGTCCCTGTAATTCCAGGTCGACTGGTAATATGTAGGAAAGACAGAGAACTGACATGTTACTGTAACCTATAATATCAAATAGAGTTCTTTTACAAGAGGTTAGCATCTTCTAATACAGAATATATCTGGCTCGATAAAAGACTGCTAATTTTTTTTTCAGAGCTAGAATCAAAAATGTATGTATGTAAATCTGTTTTATATGATGTATTTAGATTTCTGAGATTGTACTGATAGCAGTGTGTACACATGTACAGGTACTGCATCAATACACACACTAACTGCCATAATTCTGAAGTAATCAATGCAGGTAAAATTGATTGTCCATGTTGATATATATGTAAGAGAGCGGTGAGGTGGAGATGCTTGCCGCATTATTACTGGTGTCCTAGCAACAAAAGGCAGCTGTACATACCATTGATACATTTCATCAATGCCTGCCTGATGTTGGTAGATTAAGCACATCCAATCCAACACGACTGGTGACACAACTTGACAAATTACCACCAACTCTCTTCCAAAGTGACATATATTTCATCAAACTTAAAAAGATGCCTGGGTTTCTGAATGTTCTATATTCACATTTTCATTCTTAACAGACAACCTTTGTGCCTTTCATTAAAATATCATCTGATGAAAAATATTCTTTTTGTCAAACTTTGTAAAAATATTGCTGATTCAGGATTTTCTGATCCCAAACCTACTTTAATAGGATTATAAAGATCACATTCAATTAAGAAAGCACTTCATCTGGTACATCACAGACCAGATATCATACCTGATAAATAATGTTCATCTCAGTACATCACAGACCAGATATCATACCTGATAAATAATGTTCATCTCATTACATCACAGACCAGATATCATACCTGATAAATAATGTTCATCTCAGTACATCACAGACCAGATATCATACCTGATAAATAATGTTCATCTCAGTACATCACAGACCAGATATCATACCTGATAAATAATGTTCATCTCAGTACATCACAGACCAGATATAACACCTGATAAATAATGTTCATCTCAGTACATCACAGACCAGATATAACACCTGATAAATAATGTTCATCTCAGTACATCTCTGACCAGATATAACACCTGATAAATAATGTTCAACTCAGTACATCACAGACCAGATATAACACCTGATAAATAACGTTACATTAGGGTTTAAGACAATATCCTGGCTTAAAAGCATCAGTAGTAATGATAAATATATTGTGTCAGATGTTTTATTATCCCTTGAAAGTGAAAGATACAAACAGTATCACACATGTTTGCTATTGCTGAAGACACTATCAATTACCCTATTTATTACATTTTCACTTGTAAAATAGCCCATACTGGCATATTTAGGACAGAAACAAAAGGACAAAGCTGACTATTCTTTTTGCAGATACTACTCATGATAACTTTGCAGAATGCGACAAACGGTAGCCCGGTTTTTCAAAACTCCAAAATATACTAAAGACAAAAATGAATTCCAAAGTCTTGATTGATTATTTGTATCAGGCCTTATATTTTGTTAATTTATAAGATCTGTGTTCTCTCCTTTCATTGATGTAAATCTGCAAAAGTGTTTCTTTTTACTGAAAAATTACACTTTTATTAATGAGATATTTCTCTGGCAAAAATGTAATAAAATACGTTATCTCCCTTGACAAGTGAACCTCTTGGTCACCAAGACAAGACATTTCACCTTGAAAGCAAATGACCTAAATCTGAACAGATAGACATTTATCCAGATCTGGTATTTGTTGATATGACTTTACAGGACTAAAGGTTATCAAAAAAATATATGTTTTAAAGATGAAAGAATTTTGTTTTTGTGTCCTTTTATGCCAGTCAAAGTCATCCAGTAAACATGTCTGATAGCCTTCATCAAAACATGATAATAACCAAATCAGAGACTTTAATCACAGAACTTATTCAGCTCTATCACACAGGTACACACCCCCGTCCTTCGCTTATACTTCAGGACAAGTTTAAACTTATGTAAATCCCAAAGACCATGCTATCTAAAATCCAGGAGACTTTCATGTGCTCAAAAGGAACAAAGTGCCATAAACTTAGATAAATACCTGACTCTCAATGAAATTTTCCAATTATACCTCACAGTGTACTACACCTTCTACATTGTAGATTCTAGCTATTGCTTGGTATAACATATATTCATGATATTTATTCAGTGTCAAGATATCCCACAACAGAATGATGAAGGATCGTCCATATTTGTGTTATCACAGGAAGATTTGGCAGGTAGGAAATCTTATACAACCATCAATATAAGTATATGGCTCTATTCTACAAAGGTCAATGACAGGATCAAGAACCCTTTATGGCAGAATCACACACCTGTGTAACACTACAGCCACTGTCTGACATTACAGGGGTATCACACACCTGTATAACACTACAGCCACTGTCTGTTACAGCCACTGTCTGACGTTACACAGGTATCACACACCTGTGTAACACTACAGCCACTGTCTGACATTACCCAGGTATCACACACCTGTATAACACTACAGCCACTGTCTGACATTACACAGGTATCACACACCTGTGTAACACTCCAGCCACGGTCTGACATTACACAGGTATCACACACCTGTGTAACACTACAGCCACTGTCTGACATTACACAGGTAACACACACCTGTGTAACACTACAGCCACTGTCTGACATTACTCAGGTATCACACACCTGTGTAACACTACAGCCACTGTCTGACATTACACAGGTATCACACACCTGTGTAACACTACAGCCACTGTCTGACATAACCCAGGTATAAAACACCTGTATAACACTACAGCCACTGTCTGACATTACCCAGGTATCACACACCTATGTAACACTACAGCCACTGTCTGACATTACACAGGTATCACACATCTATGTAACACTACAGCCACTGTCTGACATTACACAGGCATCACACACCTATGTAACACTACAGCCACTGTCTGACATTACATAGGTATCACACACCAATGTAACACTTCAGCCACTGTCTGACATTACACAGGTATCACACACCTGTGCAACACTACAGCCACTGTCTGACATTACACAGGTATCACACACCTGTAGAACACTACAGTCACTGTCTGACATTACCCAGGTATCTCACACCTGTATAGCACTACAGCCACTGTCTGACATTACACAGGTATCACACACCTGTATAACACTACAGCCACTGTCTGACATTACCAAGGTATCACACACCTGTGTAACACTACCTTTATAGTTACTTCCTAACACTTTTAAAAGCTTTGAGGAAATGGCTGGTACATTTTACGTACATTTGAATTATTTCTGCCAAGATGCTCACTGACAAATGGATTGGAATTTCTTCTGTAGTTGTTAAAATGTTGCTTAAAGGGATACAGATAATAAATACCTTTTGTCCCTAGTTACCTGTCCCCAGAGAGTAGCAGACTTACATAACCTAATATATCACTCTGTAAAAATGATTCCGTCAACCATTGGTGGAAATTTTCCCATCAACAGACATGAAATAAAGTGAGGTACAGGAAAAGACTTACTTGCTAATTGCTGTATCTGCATCTGTATGCCCTTGCCACCCACGCCCCCTCGAGGTGTGGTCGGGCCAGAGCTGTCCCTTGGGGACATTCCCCCTATGGAGGATAGCGACCCCGAGTTGCGCCGTTCTGCCATCGTTATAAGTACAGGGTGATGGGAGTGTTTTAAACACTGCTACTTCCCTCCACTCCTAAACATGGCACCATCCCTTGACCAATCTACATTCTGAAATAAACACAAAATAAACAAAAGGATCAGTTAAACTGATGTTTGTTCCCAGAAAATGACTTAAATGGACACAAAATTTTACAAAAATGGCAATGATTCTGTAACTAAGGGATTGCAGGCCCTTAATTTGCTAATGATACAAAACTTTGACAAAAGGCAATAACTTTGTTCTCAGGGATCAAAGGTTCTGACTTTGCAACACTGCGCCTTGCTTTAGTAGGACTGATGTATACCATCACCTTTCAATACCCTAGTTTAAATGCAGACAAAGTGATCCTCCAGACTCAAAATTTTAACACAAAGCAATAACTATGTAATCATGAGGACAAGGGCACATTGCCTTTGTATGATCAATGTATATACCTTCCTTGCTTAAATATGGACAAAGTTATGCTGCTGACATGAAAGGATGGATGGAAAGATGGACGAACGTGACGTTGACAGCATGCTCCACCATCTACATATATATTTACATTATAACAGGTATACAGGGACATCTATATCTGTAATTACATTATAACAGGTATACAGGGACATCTATATCTGTAATTACATTATAACAGGTATACAGGGACATCTACATCTGTAATTACATTATAACAGGTATATAAGGACATCTACATCTGTAATTACATTATAACAGGTATACAGGGACATCTACATCTGTAATTACATTATAACAGGTATACAGGGACATCTACATCTGTAATTACATTATAACAGGTATATAAGGACATCTACATCTGTAATTACATTATAACAGGTATACAGGGACATCTACATCTGTAATTACATTATAACAGGTATACAGGGACATCTACATCTGTAATTACATTATAACAGGTATATAAGGACATCTACATCTGTAATTACATTATAACAGGTATACAGGGACATCTACAGCTACAATTACATTATACTAAGTTGTCTACGGCTAATGATATTTCTGTTACATGTGTATAGACATTTCTCATACTGGTACGGCTGTTTAATACAGTTTAAACCAGCAATTAATTACATTACACATATTTGTGTACAATAAAATACACATCATAACACAAGGGGGGTTAGTAATGAAGTGTACACATGCAGCACTGAAGGCTGTTAACTTCTGAAGTTTGTTTTTCTAACAAACTTGTGACATTGTCCAGGTAAAACAGGTAACACACCTGTAGAGAAATTGCCTATTGTAATACACCAATATATATAGGAATTATTGCTACATATGTTATTGTGCCAAAACTCCTAAAATACCATTCAATGGAAGAGATAGAGTAGTTCAAGACAATATTCATCTTAAGCACACACATGATAGGGTAAGGCATTGAGTGTAGCTAACACTTTGTTACAATGTTAAGAGGATAAAGCTGATGGTCCCAATACTATTGTTGTCTAACAATCACAACCAAACAGCTTACCTGTGTGTAGCTAAATTTGATGTCTTCATTTCAAAACATCAAAATAACTCTACACACCTGTATGTTACCAATCCTTCACAGGCTACATAATTCACAAGTCTCAACTGATAATCTAGAAATCATACAGGCACAGGTAATATACATACAGGTGTGTAGTCTGAGCACATTTAAAAAGGCGTAATGATTTAGACTAGTAGAAAATTTTCAAAAATACAACGGGATGAATTTGGATAAATGGTGCAGAAAAGCATATACCAATACCAGGCAACTAACTGTCAATGTGGATTGGACATATAAATTTATACTAATGACCTCTTGTACAATGAAGCTCAACTTTCACTCTAACCATGATATTTTTCCTATTTAGACAACCTGTTTAGTGTGACAGAACAGACTACACATACTGTATAAACCTCCAAGACAGGTTACACTGTAAACATATACTTAAAAATTTGAAAACAATCTGACATCAAAAATAGGCCTGGAAAGTCTTAGGTTGTAGACACCTCCGAGACATATTAAAAAAAAGTATGAATATATTTTTTAGACACCTCAAAGAAATCAGGAACAATGTTTGGACCAATTAAAGAAAGTTACCAGTAGTAAATAGTCATTACATAGTCACCATTAAATATGTAAATAAGATGCAAACAATTTACACCTATGCAAATATGTGCCTGAGTGACATCTGCAACAATAACACAATTTTCTTTCTATCTGAAATGGTCGATTATTAAAAAATAAGTGGCAATTTTCTTTGCAATGAATCACATCAAAAATATATACAGCATATGCTTCATTTTAAAGTATTTTAAGTTATTCAAATTGAAAACAAAGTAGACTTCATATGTGTATAGATTTTCTATCTTATGTTGTTTTGTAAATAAATATGATGTGTCACATCTGTAACCATTTATCAATATAAATATCTCTTTCCCAACATGTTAATTTCAATATTTTTCCCATGTGTGAAATTGACCATCCAAAATACATATCAATTCCCAATAGAAAGCTGATCCAGCAGACAGACCAAAGGACACACACATACATTCCTGTGTAGAGATTATTCAATAGTAGCCTGAAGCACATATATACCTTACTTGTAGTCAATATTCAATACATCCATGCAGTATATAATTCTGATGAGTGTTTTGTAAGTCCCCAGCCCACATTAATACTCTCCTTCTCAGTGCTGTAAATAAATTGGCAGTCCAGTGAGACTAAATACCCTGAATAGGTAAAAGTCGGTGGCACACAAATAACAATATAGCACAATCAACAGACCTAATTTGCTGAATGGTACATAGAGCAGCACGTCCCAACATGTTCCTCATACATTACCTACACTGCCCGCTGTGTTACCGGCAAAATTTAAAGAGAAATTTAAACACGTCTGATTGATCAAATGTCACATGAAAATGATAAAGAAAAATAGCTCATTTGGGTAACAAAATATTGACCCGCCTTGAGGTCAACTTACACTGAGTTTCACTATCACGTTTTAGCTCTGTATGAGGAGTAGGTACATTAACTGGATTCCCTAGGTATGGCAACATCTCCTTTGCCAATTTAAGATTGGGGTGTATACACCTTGCCTATAAATTAGATATCACAGGAACTTCAGGTTTGGAGTGTTTACGTACAAAGTATCACTAGTTGGCTTGCTTAAATAACTGAAATGAATGAATAGTCGATAAATTGGCTGTCATCCAGGACATTTTACTGAGCTTCCAAAGAGTTTCAAATATGTTTAAAAGTTGGCACACCTTTTCTGTTGAAACATACTCTACAAAATCAGAAATCATTATACGAAGTTCCCTTTACCCATCATCTGCTCTTAAGAATAATTCCTTTTTTATTAATCAGTGAAAATCAAACATCTATAAATAATTTCTAATATTGGCTTTGTTTTGTATGAGTATAATATGAAATAAACACTGCCTAAAAGCAGGCACAATTTGATCACGGATATAGATATGGTATATATCGTTTTCAATTGCTTGTTTCATAACTTCACTCAAATTGTTTATAAATTATTTTACAGGTACTTTAAAACCCTATTCCTAAACCATTCAAAAGAATATCACAAATACATCCAAATAATTTAGTTGTTATGAAGTTTGGAGATTTCGAAATACAATTATCATATATTTTATGCCAAATTTTTACCTTTCGGCAACCTTCCATGTAGGAAACTGTTCTCATTTACTGAATGTGACAAGGTTTCAAATCAATTAACTGAAATCAGGGAATCGGGTGGGCTCTTAATTTGATCGGTTAAAAATGTTTTTTCATCAAGTTTTTGACAATATGCATTTTAAACCATAAATGTATATGTTTGTTAGATTTATTTGTATTACTTCACATCTTTTATTATCTTTTTTTTTCTCACTTGAAAGTCTGGAAAGATATTTTGAAGGTCAAAACATTTTTAATCCAATCAACAGGATAGAAGTTCTCATTCTGTGCTGTGATAAAAGTTCCAGCAACCAGTTGTTCAAGGAAAACATATCTCCAGTTTTCTTCCATACTGAATCTCCACGAACAAAATCATAAAGTGCTTACTTCCCTAGCTTTTAAAAATATCTCAATTTACAAATAAACGTTAAATAATGTTTCCGTTTTGTTTATGGATGGTTGAGTAACGCAGTGGTGACGCACTCACCTTTCACTAAGGCATCCAGGGTTTGATTCCCAGAAGGGCAATTCAAACAGGATACATTGATTTGCCTATACATCCACGGTGATTACATAATGGTCTCAACAACCATATATGGTTAAAGGCTAGAAATTGTATCAGTTTCTCAACAATGATACAGGAAGTACAGTGGCAAAGACAACCAAAGGAACAGAGAAAGATCCCAAGGGAAGAGAAAGATCCCAGGGGAAGAGACAAATCCCTGGGGGAGAGACAGATCCCAGGGGAAGAGACAGATCCCAGGGGGAGAGACAGATCCCAGGGGAAGAGACAGATCCCAGGGGAAGAGACAGATCCCTGGGGAAGAGACAGATCCCAGGGGAAGAGACAGAACCCAGACCCCAGAGGCAAAGACAACCAAAGGAACAGAGGCAGATCCCTGGGGTAGAGACAGAACCCAGGGGAAGAGACAGAAAGGGACAGGGGAAGACAGACAACTTAAGGGACAGTCCCTGGGGCAGAGACAGATCCCAGGGGAAGAGACAGAACCCAGACCCCAAGGGAAGAGACAACTAAAGGAACAGAGATAGAACCCAGGGGAAGAGACAGATCCCAGGGGAAGAGACAGATCCCTGGGGAAGAGACAGAACCCAGACCCCAGGGGAAGAGACAACCAAAGGGACAGAGAAAGAACCCAGATGCACAGACAACTAAAGGGACAGTCAAAGATTCCTTGGGCAGAGACAGATCCCAGGGGAAGAGACAGAACCCAGATGCAGAGACACCCCAAGGGGCAGAGACAGATTCCTGGGGCAGAGACAGAACCCAGGGGAAGAGACAGATCCCAGGGGAAGAGACAGAACCCAGACCCCAGGGGCAAAGACAACCAAAGGAACAGAGGCAGATCCCTGGGGTAGAGACAGAACCCAGACCCCCGGGGGAAGAGACAACTAAAGGGACAGAGATAGAACCCAGATGCACAGACAACTTAAGGGACAGTCAAAGATTCCTGGGGCAGAGACAGATCCCAGGGGAAGAGACAGAACCCAGACCCCAGGGGAAGAGACAATTAAAGGAACAGAGATAGAACCCAGGGGAAGAGACAGATCCCAGGGGAAGAGACAGATCCCTGGGGAAGAGACAGAACCCAGACCCCAGGGGAAGAGACAACCAAAGGGACAGAGAAAGAACCCAGATGCAGAGACAACTAAAGGGACAGAGACAGATTCCTGGGGCAGAGACAGATCCCAGGGGAAGAGACAGAACCCAGGGGAAGAGACAGAACCCAGATGCAGAGACACCCCAAGGGGCAGAGACAGATTCCTGGGGCAGAGACAGATCCCAGGGGAAGAGACAGAACCCAGATGCAGAGACACCCCAAGGGGCAGAGACAGATTCCTGGGGCAGAGACAGATCCCAGATGCAGAGACAACTAAAGGGACCGAGACAGAACCCAGATGCAGAGACAGATTCCAGGGAAAGAGACAGATTCCTCTACAATATTTAATAAGATTGAGCCTCATAATTCCGATAGCTTCACAGGAAAGAGAGACACACACGTAACCAGTCTCAATATCATGCAAGTAATGTAAATTCTCTCGTGATAACACCCAGAAAAATTTACATGTTGTCTTGTTAGTATACACACAATGATATTAACATAAAATGTGAGTACATAATTAAATTCTAATATCATAAGTATGTTATAAGTTAATTAACAAGGAGAGACAGACATCAGACAAAATGATTTACCTAAGAGTGAATATTCTTTCTATTCAAGCATCCTCTTAATTTCTCAATAGTATAGGTCACAGTCCTTGTAATTCACACAATATACACACACAAATCAGATCAGCCTGGAACATGAGGCGACAATGTGTTCATTACCGGCACTGACAAGTCATACTGTGTATCCTAATCATTCCAACACTTTCTCAGCCAGACCTCCTTTATCATTAACCTGACAAGGAATTAAACAGTATAGAGTGGAATGGAGGGGAGAGGGTTCAGAATGGAATGGAGGGGAGAGGGTTCAGGGTTTGGGGCAAAGGCAGGAAATGGATATAGGAAAGAACTCTAAAGGGAAATAGGCAAAGAAGGGTCACATGCAAGGAATCCGCAGGGTCAACCACACTTACAGGTCAGATCAACCGATGTTTGTAGGTTTTCTCTGTCCTAAAAAAAGTTGTGATTTTTTTCCCCTAAGGTTGAGACTGACTGATATTTGTGGGTTTTCTCTGTCCTAAAGGACAGTTGAAGGTTTTCTCTATTCTAAATGACAGTTGTGGGTTTTCTCTGTCCTAAAGATCAGACAAACTGACAGTTGTGAATTCTTTCTGTCCTAAAGGACAGTTGTGTTTTTTTTTCTGTCCTAGAGATCAGATAGATTAACAGTTGTGGGTTTTCTCTTTTCTAATTCTGGAGTGGACACGTGAAAAGCAATGTTTAAAATATTGATGGAGAAAACGTAGGAAACAATATTCTAGATATTGGGAATCCAGTCACCATCAATATTGTACGTCATTATCATCAGAATATCACCATGCATTGATGAATAATTTATGTGCAGCACATTTCATGTGTGTTTATGATCAAGTTTATTTTTCCACAAAATCCATCCTTGAAACATGTTCACTGGACATGCAATGATCCTTTTCAGTACTTGGGTCTGTCAAACCTTTTAACCAAATTATGCAGCCAGAAGGCATAAAAGAATGTACTGTAAGGAAATCATTTTTCTTTCACAATAAACAGCCTATGTGTACACACCATTTGAATGTTTAAAGTCTGATACTTATCAGAAGAGAATAAAAATTCAAGTGTCCTCAATACACTGTATATAATACCTGTGCACAGCTTGTATAAAGTCATTTAATGGGTGCCAGCCAGTATTGGGCTTTGTCAAGGTCTTAAACAAATATCATTAGTACCCACTTCATGCACCAATGTTGGGGTGTATTGGATTTGTAAATCCTGTCCACCAGCTACCTAAAACATCCCCTGATCCCTTATCATCAAGAATGTGCCCTTGCTTTCCACCAGCAGATTTTGGCCAAAACTTCAAAATCATGAAATGATAGTAAGCGCAGGACATAGTTAAGCTGCTAACTATGTGTTTTAAGGTGCCTAAAAGCAGCTAAGAAACTGGCTATAAGCAGCCTTTTGTTTAACAAACTTCTATTTCCAGACATTCTTAAAGAGGCATAACTCTTAAGAACCATCAAACATAACCTACTGCATAACTTTCACATCATGAATAGTAACCCGTTTCATCCTGTACCCATACTGCCATTGTCAGAATACACCTACCCCATCTATTTTGGCTGTTTCCAGCTTATATATTCTTAGCAAGTGCATTATTTCTACAATATTATTTTCTTATTTACTTAAATATTTCATTGAAAATATGAATAACTGTTTAGATAAGCAATTTTGTTTGTTGTAAACAAACAAGTTTATTTCTAATAATTTATACGAGAATTCCACATAAGTAGATGTGCTGCCTACACAGCAAGGTTTCTGGGGATGAGTTTTATGACACAATAGTCATAGATGTTCATTATATTTACATTTAGATGTACAGTATCAAAGAAAACTGAATCCCAAGGACAGATCTGTATATAACATTTATGATCAGAATAAGAATTTAAAAAAAAAATACTGATTTGCTCCAGCAGGAACAGGGAAAATCCTCATGACAAGCAATCTCAAACAGGCCTATCCTATATACAGTAACACTGTCATTGATCTTTCACCTGAAAATCTCAAAACAATCCCAAGGAAGCACTTTAGGTAAGAAAGCATTGTATGAAGTTTGAGGTTAATCGGCCAAATGGAATTTAAGTTAATGCAAAAAATATATTTATAGTAACAGTGGCCTTGACCTTTTACCTTCAGACCTGAAAAGCAATCCCAAGCAAACACTTATTGTAAGGAAGCATTGTATGAAGTTTGAGCTTGATAAACTAAAGTGAACTCAGGAAAAAACCTTTATGCGGACAACGGCACAAATGCCAACGACACAAAATATTACTAACCATCACCATAAAGTGTTATGTAATTAACGAAAAGAAACACACAACAAACTATGTGGGCCATTCCATCCATTTTTCCACACCAAAAACATCGTCCAGGAGGTCTCAAAAACCAATCCCTGAATAATAGATTTCAAGTTTTTTTTTAAACTTTATTTGAAACTGGATTTAATGGGATTTCCTGGCTTCCTGATAAGATAGGACAGCATGTAGAAATATGTAGCTTGTCATACCATAAATGTGTAAAGGGGCTTTACTTGTCTGTGCCAAGTAAGACAGCAAGAGACAAGGTTGCAAGCGAGTACCTGACCTTACATTTTAAGGTAGTTTTGAAGTTTAAACTATGCCCATAACTTGTTATTTGAACTTCAGATATTGATTAGGAGCCTTTAACTCAAGTATATTATTTCGATCTTGGTTGTGTACTGCATATAAAGTGTAGCAACTAAACTGCCATAAAGAGGAAAAAAAAATTTCACCTAAATTCCTGTTCTGGGTACTACAATCCTGAATATATGAAATGACAACATTGGTACACCTGATATATCAGCGGAGGGGAAAAATCCTTGAAGTACGGACTACGGTATATGCTTTGTAATTGATAACATATGCTGTAGGCCTATTTAACAATCATTTAGCTGATCTTTTTAAGGCCATCATTCTTCCTGAAGGTTTGACACTTCAGTGGCTAGCTCATCAGCATGTTCATTTATTAGTTACTCATTGGGAAATCAGATGTTCTGAGACTTACACACTAATGTGACCAACTAAACAATGTACACTGTACCGTGGTACAATGTAGCTAAATTTTTCACTGCATTTGAAAAATCAATCAGAATAATACATTGAAGTTGTGATATATATAGCTCATTTCATTAGGATTGTTGCTTAGTTACACAAAACATCATGAAAGTGAAAGTACATATAAACAATATCTGATATGTCACAATGTGTCACTTAATGTAGTGTGCGGAATGCACTACTTGTAAGTCTTCATATACACAGAAACGCACATGTGTAAACTGTGTAAGCTACCAATAGTAATGTTTACACATTGCAGTGTAAATTTACCGGTATATGTATGGTAATTAGCGACGATACACCTACAGCAGTGTCTCGGTCACCTTATAAACAAAAATCATTCAACCAGCACAAAATTAATCAGATGTAAATTTCGTACGAACTTGCAACTGAAGAACAACAACATCAGTGTCAGTGTTATTTTTTTTCCAACTATCCCTTCATCTCTGACCAGGGTAAGTTAAAACCTGTTGACTTCTGACATGACAGGACATGTTGATACATCAGTGTACAGGTGGAAATAATCAAGGTAACTATTGGATTTTCAATAACAAACGCAAAACCATGTACAAAGGTGATAATATTATTTCTGTTGATGCAAAAATAAAGTATTTTTCAAGCGCTGTCATCTACACAAAACATGGGTATCTAAAACGAAAGTAATAAATTGGAGTCGGCCGGTGCGACGGGACACACATAAAATATATAAAATATAAATATGCTGGTGTAAACCCAAAGTTCGTGGTTAAATTGATTGACAATGTTATTGAAATACATTTGGATGGACATAGTGGTCAGTATGTTTTTTTTCATCCTGGCAAAAGCGTACATACCTGTCTGTAATTCAATGACCGTGCACTTATCCCGCGGCATTCGCTTCGTTTAATTTGGAAACGGATGTTTCGAAGCGCCACCTATGTGTGTAAGTTATGTAGTACACGTACGTCTACACACACATGCATAGAGACTCTGACGCGGCAATGCATGTTTCATTTAGACACGACTCTACTGAATAGAGAAAGTATTGGGAATACACATTCAAACATTCAATATATCAAATACACACATTGTAAAACTTTACATGTAGCCAGCTGTCAAATAGATAATAATTTGGGCTCTGTCCGACCGTCCGTCAACAATATTTGTTATCACTATTTCTTAAGAAGTACTGAATGGATATCTTTCAAATTTCATACGTATGTCCCATTTGGTCTCGCCTTGTGCAATTTTGATTTTGGGACTGATGAGAAGA